GAAAGATAAAGAAAATTCCCATTGCGCTGCAGGGTTGTTTTGGATATTGTAGATTTCTTTTGGCATATATATACATCTAACATTGTAGGTGATATAATATTTATTTTCGCAAAAGCATACAGCGTGGAACAAGACAATTGCTACTCTGGTTTCTCAGGCAGAAGGAAAGAAAGAAGAAAAAGATTCCTTGAACCTTCCTGAAAGTAGTCGATTTCTGGGGCATGGCCTCCCCAGCTCACCAAAAAAAAAAACAAGAAGAAAAAGGAAGAAGAGGAAGAAGAAAGAAGAATCCAACCCAACCCAACCTAACCTTCTTCTCGAAGGAACACTGCGCGCAGCACCAACCACCATGTTCAGCGACTCCAGCTTTCTTCATCTTCTCTGCTGCTCGTCGAGATACTTTTTTATTTTTTTATTTTCCAGTTTTTTCCTTTTCTTTAATTTTTTTAAATATTAACGGGTGAAACGGGTCGTTTCGTGTCATTTGCGAATTGTAACGGGTCGTGTTCGTGTTTGATATTTTTCACCCATTAGCTTAACGGGTCGTGTCGTGTCAACCCGTTTCTCTTAACGGGTTGGAACGAACACGACCCAAAACCCGCAAATACGACCCGTTTGCCAGGTCTACTTGTGTCATTGTGTACTTGTATGTTGATGACATGTTAATAATGGGAACAAGTAAGGATGTAATCAATAATACTAAGGTAATGTTGAACTCAAGTTTTGACATAAAGGACTTAGGTCAGACAGATGTCATACTTGGAATTCAAATTAAAAGAAACAATGATGGTTATATCCTTACACAATCTCATTATGTCGAAAAGATCCTAAGAAAATTTGGACATTTCGACAGTAAACCTGCTGCAACTCCATTTAATGCCAACTGTAAATTAAAAAAACATGTTGGTGATGACATTTCACAATTGGAATATTCCCAAGTGATTGTCAATCTGATGTATGTGATGAACTCTACTAGGCCTAACATAGCTTACTTGATAAGTAGGCTTAGTAGATATACAAGCAATCCAGGACATGAGCATTGGGATGCTTTGATAAGGGTGTTAAGATACTTAAAGAACACTATGAGTTATGAATTGCATTATACAAGATATACACCTGTGTTAGAAGGATACAGTGATGCAAATTGAATTTCTGACAATATAGAAACCAAGTCGACTAGTGGATATGTTTTCACATTAGGAAGTGCAGCAGTGTCTTGGAAATCCTCTAAACAGACGTGTATAACACGTTCAACAATGGAATTAGAGTTTGTAGCCTTGGATAAAGCAGCTGAAGAAGCTGAATGGCTTAGAAACTTCCTTGAGGATATTCCATTATGGTCCAATCCTGTGACTGCCATTTGCATACACTGTGATAGTATGGCTGCCCAAGCAACAGCCAAAAACAGTGTCTATAATGGCAAGTCTAGACATATAAGGCGAAGACATAATACGATTAGATAGTTGCTCTCAAATGGAGTCATATCCATTGATTATGTAAAGTCAAAGGAAAATATAGCAGATCCTTTGACAAAAGGCCTACCAAGCGAGCCAACATTGTATGCATCGAGGGGAATAGGTCTAAAGCTAATTCAATGAATCAAACCGGGCGGAAACCTAACATAGTTGATTGGAGATCCCATAATCTAGGTTCAATAGACAAACTAGTTGGGGATGATTCAAAGTATTGAACACAGAAAATGCCCATTTCTATGATATGTGTGTGTTGTCTGTTGATGATTGAGGGTATGCTTATGCATTTAATGACATTAATATCTTGTTATCAAGAGGAATATGAAAGACTATTCTTCATTAATGTCACCTATATAGGAGTAAATGTGGGGTCGCATTTTTGAGAATTGATATGGCTAAAACTCTCTAAAACTCCTAGGAAAACCGGGATTTGTTCGGGACCAAAATGAACACAAACGTCTGAATTGACGTGTGTCAGATTTGATATGTGTGAAATATATTGTCTCGGTTTACAAATAGGGGTGAACAGTTCAAATTCATTATATCCACTGCATCACCAGGTAGACCCGATATATTTTCACTAGGGTAATTTCAAGTTCAAAAGACACTTCTCTTGATGCATATCATTTCTACGACCTCTCAGGTGATCTAGGCATCATTTTCATTTAAATTTCCATTCAAATATGGGGTATATTAGGGTTTGAATACAAATTTCAACTCAAATTTGGGGTATTGTTGGTTTTTGCAAGGCATTGCAAACATGTTTGATTTGAAATTAGGCCCACATTGGAAAATTAGAGTTCCTTAAAGGTCTTTATAAGACCTACTCTTGGAAATAGAATAGTTAGGACTGGGCTATGCAAGTGGCTTGTGGGTTTGGCCTTTGGGTCAATGCTGTTAGAAATATGCCCTTAAAGCCAACTAATTATGTAATAGTTAGAGTTAAGGACATCTTTGATAAAAAAACATATTATGTTATCAATGAGCAAGAAATGTTGTTTTATACATTAAATCATCCTATATTATCTTTCAATATGTAGAACAACCATAGTCCAAGGAATACACTATGTAATGAGATAGCATACATGGAGACTTCTCATCATCCCTAAGTCCTAAATATGTTCCTGGTCATAAGAATATTGATTGGGCATCAATATTCCACAAAGACCAGTACACACAGTATCATCTCTATATGTAGGGAATGGCAAGCTCTTAAGTCATGAAGTGTGGAGGCACATCGATATATGAGTAGGTACTTATAGAAGAACAAGTACACTGAATGCGATCCAACACATGAGTTACAGCATGGAAGTATTTACTCACATGTCAAGCTGGAACTCATAAATTGCAATGGTGCAAACTAATCCTTAGACCTGAGGCATCATAGATGTTTTGTGGCTATGTTGTTAATCTTTAAAGGCACTATACGGTAATGCTGAAGTAGTTATAGCTTAAAGGTGCTTATTAGGATTCTCAATAGAGTCATGGAAGCAAATGAATGTACAACAATGAATCTCTACTCTCAGTAAAGAAGAGAGAATACTCCAAGATATGATTGGTCAAATCTCTGTGCAGAGTAGTGGATAAGACTTGAAAGAAGAAGTCTTCAAGTCTTACCAGGATAATCATATAAAAAAAATGATTCACATTAGGATATTGAAAATCGGATTCCATGATCTAATAATGTGAATAAGGAGTATTGACATAAGAGAATGATTCAATTGCACGGTTATTCTAATTTGAATAGGTTCTTTCACAATATCTCATTTAGCTCGGATAACCGTGACTTGCTGCTAGGCGACAACCATGGTTTGTGGATATCCTAAAAGGTTTCAATTAACCTTTATTAATATGAAGAATTTAATTGTGGAATTTAATTCGTATATCATTTCTGAGGAGTTGAGTCAACCCACTACCTTGCTAAAGGGAACCTGCGGATTTGCACACCCCAAAGAATGTGATTAGAGGTACAAATGAGGAGAAATAAAATGAGGAGACACAAATCAGTGGTTGATAATCAAATGTCAAAGTCAACAGTCAAAAGTCAACATATTGACCGGAGCAATTGACCAAAGTCAAATAGTTCGACCGGGTCAATTAAGTAAGACTATAATTATAATTTAATAGTTAAATTATAATTAAAAGATTAATTATGGAATTAATATTGACATATAGAAATATTGGATTGGGCTTTTAAATATGATTTAAAAGAAAATAGACAAAATAGCCCAAAAGGTTATGGGGCCAAGGGACAAGTGGCATAAGATGACATGACCCATGGACCAAATGGAGCCCCAAATACCCACCCAATTGCTTTTTGTGTTGTCCTATATAAGCTAAGTGTTGGAGAAAACCTAGCTAGGGTTTTTGGTTTCCTACTTTGGTTGATGAGTGATCATCTTTGTATCTCATCTTCCATAAACCAAAAGTTGGTCCAATCAAGAAGTAGACTAGCATCCACAATCAAGAAGTAGACTAGCATCCATACTTCTTGATTGCCTTCTCTTAATCTCTAGTAGCATTTGGTGTGGTGAGGTAGATGACTCCAATCTTGGAGCCTTAAGGTAAATGAGTCAAAATCAAGAGAAACAAAAGGTCTTTCCAACAAAGATGTTTATTTTTTAGAAATCAAGAAAATGTCATCAAGGATAAAGATCTATTCCCTTTTTCCTTTTTCTATTTGTGTTTAAAGAGATTAGGCTAAGATACTTGGTTTAAAATGAAAAAGGTTTAGCTCAACTAGTATAAACAAAATGAATCCACCATTTCGAATGTTTTTGTTGTATAGGTTGTGGCTAAAGTTCATTTCCTAAGCATTAGATGCATGTTTCCTTCAAGTGGTATCAAGAGCCAAGGTCTAGTCTTTTTGAGCATTTTATTTTGGTTATTGGTTTTAATATGGGCTTGTTTTCAAACTTATGTGATATATGTGTTAGATTTTCTTTTTCATGTCACTTATTTGTAGGATATGCGATATAGGATGAATGAGTAGGAGTATGAAAATCAAGAGATGACACCAATGGGGGTGGAGGCAAGGAGGGGCTTTTTAGGTCTTGTGTGTGTCCATATGTGAAATGTTTACATGGTTGTGTCAGTCTTGAAATTCCAAGCATGAATATGATTTTTGCATGAATTTAGGATTTCTGTGTGATTTATGAAGAGTCATAAAGTTTTGAAAAAGATTCTTGAAATGTTCTTGGTGTTTATGATATGTTCATAGGAGTTCTTGTCAAGCATGCTTTTTTATCTTATTTGATACTTGACATTTGTACGTTGAATGTTAGTCAAAAACATTTTATGACATCCTATGACATTTTCATATAGTATATAATTTTTGTCCCCTAAAGTTTTAAAAAGAAACCAATGAAAATAAATATGCTTTTTGAGTACAAAAGATGGTACCACTTTGTGGTCCCAAAATCATACCATCTTTTTCAAAAGGACAATGCTTGGCTCCTACATTCCTCCTCAACAACTAACGTGGCTTCTTTACAAAACAAGAAGTGTTTCTTTTTTTCTTTTTTCTTTTTATTTTCTTTCAACTGCCCGCGGCACCTTATGATTACAAATAAAGTATTCACCCACCTTATTTGTATAATTTTTATGAAACCTTGATGCCGACGTTGACACATCTCCAGCAACGACTTGATTCTGGCTCGTAGTTGTTTCATGCTGGACCATTGTGGTTATATCTTCAGTTACAGTACCGTCATTATTATTCTGCTCGTACACAAGCTGGATTCCAAATTCCTTCGTCAACATATCGAATTCATCACTAACCGAAACACGTATTTCATCCCCACCCTCCAATTCATCGTTTGCGAATCGCCAATGACTAAGCCATAACATATGTTCCTTCTCTTTTGGAAACCCTATTGTGACTGGAACATAGGTCCACTTAAGACCCTTGGTCTCATTATTGATGTGAAGAATGGGAACGGCCGAGTGCAATACCCATTCCTCATCACGAGCCTTACCTTGTGCATACACAACACATGCATTTAGGCCTCGGATCTTCAAATTACGATGTGGAGGTATAGTTATAGACAACTCAGAGTCACCCATGCTCGACTTGTGGCAGAACCAATCTGGAACCTCGCTCCCATGAAGGAATATGCTAAATATACCACATTCATCCAGTCCCTGTTTCATGCATGCATGGAGAGATTTATATATGTTCAAACAATACATGCCAGAGAAAATAATCCTCATAAAAAACTATACAATACATGAGAAAGAGAGAGAGAGAGAACCTGGAGAGGACCCTTCCTTGTTGTACATGTCAAGTAGTTGAGCATTTCAACTTCAGTGCTTCCTATGGATTCCAAATTGAACAGACCGATATCTTTGATCATTTCTATGTCGATGCTTCTCAACGGCCTCATTTTGAACACGTTTTGAATTTCAACTAAATTCTCGCAT